AGTAGCTGGGACTACAGGCACCCACCACCATGCCCGGCTAGTTTTTTAATATTTTTATTAGAGACGGGGTTTCACCGTGTTAGCCTGGATGGTCTCGATCTCCTGACCTTGTGATCTTCCTGTCTCGGCCTCCCAAAGTGCTGGGATTACAGGCGTGAGCTACCGCGCCTGGCCAAGGCTTGTAACTCTTTATGAAGTCAGCTCTGCAAATTTGCATGGAGGGAGGATGTGAGATCCACTTAGATGGGCTGTAAGAAGTAAGGCTAGCAGTGCTGGTTCTGTTAAACTGGATCCTGCACCAGACATATTAATTAACTTACCATCAAACACTCGGCCCCTCTGGATATGAATTATATAATACTATAAGCATTGAGACAAAAAATGTTGTTTATTTAGTGGAACGAGTAGGTGAAACCCAGTCATAAATAATCAATTTTGAAGAGACGTGTCTGCCTGAATTTGACAAGTAGGAAAAGCATAGATTTTGACTTGCCCATCTGCCTATGTGAGAGATGGAGCCCAGGGATTCCAAGAAGCGGTAGTGGCAGGTCTCCCCGAGTCTGGGCACGGACACAGATTCACAGCCTTCTTGGGCTCTCCCACGCTGCTGGCCTGGAGCTGTGTCATGAAGCAAACTGGCTGAGGGCGAGTCGTGTCCGAGATGGGTGGGCACAATGCACATGGTTTTGTGGCTCTTTTTGGAATGGTGATACTTTGGTGTGGAAATTTTCACCCTCCGTCTGTTAGGTCAGGCTTGGCAGGTGTTTTCAGTGCAGGACCAGGCCTCTGTGAGCTGCACAGTCTCTGCCGGGGCCACTCGGCTCTGCCGCACGGCGCCAGCACAGCCCCAGACGGTCCGGAGTGCGCGAGTGTGGGCGGGTTCCGGCAGACTGACATTCCAAGGTCACATGTTAGGAAATACGATTCTTCTGTTGAGATTTTCCACCATTTTACACAAAGACAAGCGCCAGGCCAACTGTGTGACTCTTCCAATATGCCTCTATTGCTTCTGTTGTCTAAGAATGCGATTCTAGGGGTGAGTTATTTAGGACACATTCGGTCTTCATATGGTCCACTCCCCAAATTATTCCTAGGTATTTTAGAGATGTATCAATATCAGTTATAGAATCTTACCACCAGTGCATTATACATGTCTGTGGGAAATGGTTTTTATCTTCTTCAGGCTTTGAAGCAAATGTATTGTCAACAATTCATTAGCTATAGTCTAAGGTCAGCGAATTGCCTAAAAAACCCGTCGCAGTGGTTTGATCGCCTTCAGTCGGCACCAGTTGCTTTTGGCCCACTTGAGATCTGAGGGAAGGGAAGCCCTTGGGAGAGGCACTCTGTACTCACTGTGCAGACGGTTTGTTTGCATTCGAATACAGTCATTAATTGTAAAACTGTCTCCGCGTGTCAATTTAATTCTTCTTTTCCGTCTGAAGTTCGACCTCCTGTCTGTGTGCTAACGCCCCGTGTTTCTTGTTTCAGCTATCTGTACAAGAATGAGATCCAGTCAATTGACAGGCAAGCATTTAAGGGACTTGCCTCTCTAGAGCAACTGTAAGTGCCTCCTCTCTTCATGCTTTAGTTCTTGGATGCCGCCTGGCTCTTTTCCTCTTGTAGGGACCAGTCAGCTGAGCTAGCTGTTTGCATGATGCATGACTATGCTACCTGAGGTGCGGGGAGTACGTGCATGATGACGGAAAAACAGGCATGGGCGGCGAGTCATTCGCCCTCCTCCCCGCCTTCCACCCAGCCAGCCTTCCACCCACCCCTCAGGATGCATCACTGGTTTCCCCTATGGTGGCACCAGACCCTGGGCCGTGCTCTCCTGATGCCAAGGACAGTCAGATCAGTGGCATCCCTGTCACAACTTAGAGGAGAGACAGGCAGGCGCACAAGTCCGATCAAGGCGTCCTTCGCAGGGGAAACGTCCAGGGTGCCCGGGGAGGAGCGGGCTCTTTGCCTCGTTCATTGTTCCTCATTATGACTCTGAACTCATGGGCTGAATTTCTTCAATTGTGATGCCCTTATTTTGGAGAAAACCCTCTTTCCCTTGTAGTTCTAGTTAGTGTGTGCAGCGTGTAATGAAACACTCCCAGTTCCCTTGGCCGCCCGTGAAGTCGTACTTTGCTGTGAAGTCGTACTTTGCTGTGAAGTCAGCATGTTGATTTTTCATTACAATGTCCTGGTAAAAAGGAGGATTTGTCCTGGTTTGTTTGCTCAGCCAGTCACCTTTCACTCGGCAGGCTGAGCCCATTCCTGGGGAGTTGCAAGTTGTCACGGTTTTAGGAATGTGGATGAAAGCAGCTGTTTGCTGTGATGCAGTGTGACGCCCTCCTGCCACAGCTGCTGATCTCTGGTCACGGGTCACTGGGTGACTGGACACAGCGATGTTGTCAGAGAGTTTGAGGCCAGGCGGTGCGGGGCAGAGACCACTCTGGGACTGTGCATCCCGAGGACCCATAGTGCTCATGTTTCTGAAAGTGCGTGTTGATTCAAGTGAGCACGGACAGGGCGTGGGTAGATTTGGGAAGAGATCGTCTGTCTCCGCGGAGAGGGACAGTGCACCTCATTGCAGAAACACATGGAGGTACGCAGGGAACCCCCACATGTAGGGAGAGCTTGCAAAGGAGCAAGCTCTCATATCCAGCAAGCGTGTCACTCAGTGGGGGCGAGAACATCTTCGTAGCAGACAGTTCTTCGATCCTGAATGGATTGGAAAACCCTCATCTGGCTTTGTGCTGAGTGAGTCCAGTGTTATTTTTAAGGAAGGAAAGGGCAAGTCAGGGGAGAAACCTGAGGCTGAACGAGGAAGGGCGTCTGTGAATCGCCAAGTAGGTGTTCGCTGAAATTTTGGATGATGCGGGGGCTTTATGAGCTGGCCAGGCTGCCTTTAGCACCCAGGGTTAGGTGAGCCCTGGGGTCTCTGCTGCTGTGACGGGTTCCATTCATTAAACGCTGTATAGTGAGCCTGAGGGCAGCCCGGCGCCCGCCCTCAGGCAGGGAACTGCTGGGGAGGGGATAAGCGAGTCCACCAGACCTCAGTGAGAGACTTGGGCAAAGGCTGTGTGTCCAGGGAGGACGGCTTGTGCCGGACCCTGGCTAACTGCACCCCTTCCCCCGATCGGCTGTATAGCCCTGAGCTATTGAAAACATGCATTCCTAGTGACACTGGGAGACCGGAATGCAGGAATACCCTAGAGCCCGCAGATGCTGTCCTGGGGGAACTGCGTATCCCTGATCCGGAAAAGCTCCTTAGGCAGCTGTGGACACAGGACAGAAAACACACCTGGCCAGGCAGGAAACGCGTTTGAATTCAGTGATGATCTCGGTGTACTTGGGGAGTCATTTCCTGTCTTTGGTCCTGTTTCCTCAGCTGTTCAGGGAGGGGTGAAGGACACCCCAGGCTGCCGGAGCCCCGGCCTCTCTAAGATCCTGTGTACCCTGGCCCGTCTAAGATCCTGGCACCCATGCAGCAGGTGCCAAGTCCCACACGCTCAGCCGTCCCCCTGGCCAGCCTGCATTGCAGAGTCCGGGTGGAGGGATTTTTACACCCACCACTCTCCGTGGGGCTTGAGATCCCCCCTTTCCTTCCCTCGGTCAGCACCTCCTCATCCATCTGGGCTTTGCTTGGGAGACTCCACCCCTGCCTGCCTGCACTGAAGCCTCGCTGAGCAGCTCACGGCCACTGTGTGTTGATGGTGCCTGGGTCTCACACTGGCGTGTGCTGCGAAAGACCAAGGACCCCAAGAAACCACAGGCGCTCTGTCAGCACACTGCCCGGCAGAGACGAGGCTCCAGGGATCACGTAGGGTTCGGCCTTCCTCGGGACCCCCGCGTCAGGTGCTTGCCCGTCATGCTCGCCCACGGCGGGTTTCCTTGTCTTCCTGCTCCAGTTTTTCCTGCCCTCGTGTTTCCCATTCGTGCGCAGTGCTGAGCACAGACCTGTCCCGGGACAAGGGGCAGGGACAGTCTGCGTTTGGGGCCCTCTGGCTGCAGGCGTCTGCAGAGACTCAGTGTGGCCTATGTGGGTGCTGCCCAGGGAGCTGGCCCCAGGATGGGGGGGCCCTGGCAGCCGCACTCTGGTGCCCTGGCGGTGACGGTATTCTCAGAATGCCCACAGACCTGATTCTCAGGTGTGCATTCTGAAGACTCTCCCTTTCTGTGGAGGTCTGAAGACCTGTGAACGCTGGCATGCTGCTGCTTTACTCGTTTTGGCCTCCTGAAGAAGTGCTCATTTAAAATGTGTGCTGGCTGCAGGGAACGCCTGAGTGGGCAGGAGGGGTCTCCCAGCAGAGCACCCCAGCGAGAATACTGACTTTGTGTTTGACTCACGAGGAAAAAACCCACTTTTCAAAACGAGAAATTTCGTATTCAGGAAAAATTAGAAAGAATGAGTTATATCTAAAAGTATAAATTGTAGAAGTATGAAGACATGTGAAATGGAAAGAAATAGAAACACTGGGTATTCTGTACCATCACACACCCGAGGAAAGACGGTCTCTTGTTTAACGCTTCAGGATTGACGGAGAAAGTTGTGTGACATTCTTTTTGTGTTTCCTTTGTGGTCTTGAAGGGTATATTTGTATCTGACAGTATACTCTCTGCCAAGTATGTGATGATGCCCCTGCCAAATTCATACGAGTTAAAAGATTTGAGTGAAGGTATTCACCTATTTATGTATGTGCTATCATTAAAGTTATGCTTTAGATTTTTGCTTTTTTTCCATATATTTTGGAAGCGAAAATGGCCTAGTCAGGCCGTTCTCACTTGGTGTCAAGGACCTCAGTGAGCACCTCTAGGCCTCCCTCGCCCTTACCCAGTCACTAGGGTGGATGTCTGTGCCTGGTGTTCAGTTGTATTTATCGAATCATTTGATAATTTTATGTATTTTTCATACGACGTAGGAAGTCTAGTGAGTGAGCTGTCTATTGATACCTGAATTTGAAATGACTAGGAAAAAAATTGGGGGCAAAAATATGGATCTAAGAAAATACATAATTGTAAGTTATACTTTTTTTTTTTCTTTTAACTGCTCTAGATACCTGCACTTTAATCAGATAGAAACTTTGGACCCAGAGTCGTTCCAGCATCTCCCGAAGCTTGAGAGGCTGTGAGTTGTGTGTTTGTGTGTTTCTGCCTTTCCATTCGCAGAGCCCAGGCCTCAGTCACTGGCTCGGTTAGATTAAGGTCAATATCCACCAAACACCTGAAAACTGTTTTGATATAAAGTCCATATTTCTAGTCTAACAATTTGGAAATAGGACTTAAAATTTTCCAATTGAAAGTGTTGATAAAATAGGAAAAAAATCCATTTCTTTGCTGGAGTAAACAACATTGTTTTCAGATTCGTTTGTATTAAATAAATGTAATCACTGAGATTTTTTAAAAGCTGATGTATATTTGACTGCTTCTATTCTTTTCTACACATTTTAAGACATATTTTTCAAAATTGGTTTGTTATAAAATCTCTTTCAACAGATTTTTGCATAACAACCGGATTACACATTTAGTACCAGGGACATTTAATCACTTGGAATCTATGAAGAGATTGTGAGTATAATGATACCTTTTGTGTTTCCTTTGCTGCAAATCCTTACTTCTCTCTGTTGTCCATTCACCTGGTTCTTTTTCAACTGTAGTAAAATGTTGATAACAATCTGATTCTGAAAGAATGAGAATATATGGAGGGTAGATTGAATCCATTAGAGAGCAAAATGAAAAACATGTGGCTCAGACAATGTGGCAAATAGTTACTCCTTTGATAGGCAATTAAGACTTAAAAAAATTTTTTTTTCAAGATAGGGTCTTGCTCTATTGCCCAGGCTGGAGTGCAGTTGCATGATCACAGCTCACTGCAGCCTCAGCCTCCCGGGCTGAAGCAGTTCTCCCAAATAGCTGAGTAGCTGGGACTATAGGCACATGCCACCATGCCCAGCTAAGTTTTGTAATTTTGTGGTTTTTTTGTTTTTCTTTTTTCTTTCTTTCTTTTTTTTGTGACAGGGTTTTGCCGTGTTGCGCGGGTTGGTCTTGATTTCCTAAGCTCAAGTTATCTGTCCACCTCAGCCTCCCAAAGTGCTGGAATTACAGGCGTGAGCCACCATGCCCAGCCAACATTTTAAAAAATCATCTTTAAATTCATCAAATTAATTTTTAATTCCAGTGCATACTTTACTGGTAGAAGTAAAACCAGTGTAGAAGGAACCCCTGTGCTGTATTCTGTTTGTTTCTACAGCATACTAAGGAGGCTGATCGCCACCCTTTTTTTGTTTGTTTGTTTGAGATAGAGTTTTATTCTTGTTGCCCAGGCTGGAGTGCAATGGCTCGATCTCAGCTCACTGCAACCTCTGCCTCCTGGGTTCAAACGATTCTCGTGCCTCAGCCTCCCTAGTAGCTGGGATTACAGGCACGTGCGACCATGCCTGGCTAATTTTTGTATTTTTAGTAGAGACAGGGTTTCACCATGTTGGCCAGGCTGGTCTTGAACTCCTGACCTCAGGTGATCCACCCGCCTCGGGTTTCCAAAGTGCTGGGATGGCAGGCGTGAGCCACTGCATCCATAATCCCACCCATTTTTTAAGGCTTCCAAATATACTTTTTCCTTATACTGAGCTATTTCTTGTAATTAAGGCATTTTATTACTGGCGGAGAAAGTTGTGACATTCTTTTTGTGTTTTCCTTCATGGTCTTGGGCCATTATTTTCAGTTAAATAGTACTGAAATGTATATGCAATGAACTAGACCTAGAAAGAAACAGAAGATGCCAGGAGACAAGCCTGGCTCCAGAGTGGGCTTACGGTGTGTGTTTTATCTATTCAGTGAAATGAAGTGGAGTAAAACGTAGACCTTCAGGACTGTTTGTGATTTTTTTTTTCTTTAGGATAAAGATATCACAAGCCAAACTAAAAGCTACATCCTGAGTAGGAAGATGGGATGAATATTTCCATATTTGATAGATAACAGAGAGTAGAAAGAAATTACCAGATAAATGCTCTAGAAAGTAGCCAAGTTTAGGGCAGACTGGTAACAGCCTGGATGATGCTGACAGCTGCCTTCCCTCTGTTCTCAGTCTCTCTCTGGGTGTCTGGCAAGGTCCCCCTCTCCTGTTTGCTCACTTTACTAGAGGTGCTCGAACACTGCAACCCCAGACTGAGATGCTGTGTTAGATGTACAGAGCTGCATCTAGAGGGCACGCTGTGTCCTGGCTGCTGTCCGCTGGGAGCAGTCTCTAACCTCACGTCCCTGAGGGGCCCCAGGCTGAGGAGGGCACGCCAGCTGTCCTACCTCTCCAGACCTCCTGAATAGCCCTCTCTGCTTCAGAGCAGATGACGGTTGGGGATCCTGTGCTTCCTCGGGTGCCCGGAGCAGCTCGCTCCGCCAGGACCGACTGGCCAGATGTCATATACCAGACCGTGACCATCCAGGTCTTGCATGTGCCCATGGTCCTGTACTGACCTTCAGCTGTGGGCACAGGTTGGGTGCCCTGGGCACGTGGCTGACACCGTCCTCCTCACAGCCTCCTCACCTGAGAGCTGTGCACCTGCTCACGTGGGAAAGGGTGATTCTGGTGCTGAGACCAGTTCTGTGTTCCTGTCCCCTCTGGGCTCACGTCCAGGAGAACCTTGGATGGGAGGTGTAGCCTCCCCTTCCCCTCCTGGAGCCAACGTCGGCCCCTAGTGATGCCCTCACCCTGCCGCCCTGGTGAGCACCTCTCGGGGTCCCATCCCCATCTGGGGAGTGACCTGGGGCCACCTCATCCAGGGTTAATAGTGAGCACGTCTGTTGCAGGACTTTTCCTTAGTTCAGCGAAAGGTGGGGTCCTTGTTACGTGGCCACAAAAATTTAGGCTCACAGACTATTTGAAGAGGGAGAAAAATGGGAATTATTGGGTAAAAAGGAAAAAAAGTGGGGGAAACAGAGACCCTTAGCAAAGCAAGAGAGTGTGTTTCCTGCCAGTGGCTTCCTGCCTCGCAGACTGAATTCCACCCGTGAGGAGGAGGGCCAGGCTTCTCCCCCCGCAAATGGCACGAACCTCTGTGGGCTCCACCCCAGTGCGCACCCCTCCCAGTGCGCAGGCCGGCTGGAGGGGCCTGGGGACCCCATCCCACCTGGCTGCCCTGGATTGAGAGGTGACCACATGCTAGCAGCCCTCACTCTCGGCGCCTTCTCGGCCTCGGCGTCCACTCTAGTGGTGGCGGGCTCAAGGGCTCCTCAGGCACCACCAGAGTGGACACCGAGGCCGAGAAGGTGCCGAGAGCGAGGGCTGCTAGCATGTGGTCACCTCTCAGTCTCACATCCAGCTGCCAGCCGCTTCCAGCCCTTGTCCTGTAGCCTGTGTTTGCTACCTGGAACTCCTCTGCCCCCAGACAGCTTCTTCCCTGTGTGCGGAGACAACACTTTTCCCAGGGTGAGGCACATCCTGCCCGTGCTTCCCTTGTTGGGACAGGATGTGCCACTCACTGGAAACTTTCCAGGTCAGATTGGACCTCAGGAAACTTAGGTGTGGACCCCAGCCGGGAGATGCAGCCCCCCCCCAACTCCCTGGGAAGGCTCAGGCCGGGAGTGAGATGGTGTAGAACTGTCCTGCCCGTGATGACGGGTGTTGGGTGATGGTGGTGGTTTTGTGGCTGTGGTTCTCATGTTACTGATTCCTGTAAGTGGCTCCCACCCGGTCTCCTTCACAAACTTCCCTGACCTGTGCCGCCGGCACACTCCTTCGTCTTTAACTCGACACCCAATGTCTGGGTGTGCACCGGCCCTTTGCTACTCACGCCTCTCCGGTTAGTGCCTCCAGGGGTACTGTGCACCCCCGGGCTCTTCCTGGTGTGTGATGTGTGTGCCTCTACATCACTGCCTGAGTCGGGCACTGGGGCTCGGATTCCACCACGGGACGCGTCCCATCCCCGTGTCGCAAGCCCGGCAGGCCTGGCGCATGTTTCCCGACGCAGGACCTGGAAGCCCTGTCTGATGGACGGATGGACAAGCCCACCCACCCCGTGTCTCACCAGCCGCATCTTCCTTCCCACAGGCGACTGGACTCAAACACACTCCACTGCGACTGTGAAATCCTGTGGTTGGCGGATTTGCTGAAAACCTACGCGGAGTCGGGGAACGCGCAGGCAGCAGCCACCTGTGAATATCCCAGACGCATCCAGGGACGCTCAGTGGCAGCGGTCACCCCGGAAGAGCTGAACTGTGGTGAGTGGCCC